AAAAAAAAAAAAAAAAAAAAAACAACTAGCTACCATTTTTGAGCTCCTGATCTGAGCATTGTACTAAGAGCTTTTCATATGTTGTTGTATAAAATAACAATCCTATAAGATAGGTATTATTGTTATCCACATTTTATAGAGGGAAAAATTGAGGCTCATAAGTGGGAAACTAAAGTGAAGCTCAAAATGTTGAAGAAAACTGCCTAAATCTGACTCCTCAGTTCCCACTCTAAACTGGTTCACTATGCTGTCTGGAGAAAAAATGAATCCCAGGCAAGACAGCAGCAAAAATATAAGTTTTTTAAGAATTACCTTTAATATTTCATCCAAAAGAACAGACTTAATTTCTAAATCCTCAAAGTTACAAATATATCCAGAAGTCTGAATGGGTTCCTTTAAAGACAAAAACAAATGTTACACTGAATTATACAAAATTTTCCTTCAACATATCACATTTTAAATTTTATTATCAAACTTTCAAACCAAAAAAAAAAAATAGAATGTCATTAACACCCGTATACCCTTCATCTAAATAATTATTAACATTTTGCTAAGTAAGCTTCATTTAATGTTTTGGCTGAAGTATTTTAAAGTAAATTAAGTAAATTTAAGACATCATGACATTCACCCCTAAATATTTCAAATATTTATCTCTAGAAGATAAAAGACATTCTCTTCCATAGTCACATTACTATTATCAAACTTTACATAATACTAATTCACTAATAGCATCAAATATCTGCCCAAATTGCCAATTAATCCAAAAATGACTTACACAGCTTGATAATTCTTATTCATGGGATTCAACTTTAAATTTAGTTCTTAATAAAACTGACAAACACTATTTTGTATCTATGTACATAAGTCAAAGATGTCCCATAGCATGCTGAAAAGTCCATCCTCTGTAATATTAACTAGAGTGTTACTGATAAATTTTCTTCATAAGAAGTTTTAATTTGCCAATATGCAAATACATGAGTCTATTATATGTCTGTCTCTTATCCTAGTGTTATACAGGCTTGTAGCTGTAAAGTATAGTAAATGCATATTATAAAGTAGCTGCCCTAAATCCCTAGTAGAAAAAACAGACAGAAATATTATATAAACAAAAAGAAACAAAATCCCAATATAATTATTATTTCCAAGAACACTGTAAAAAAAATAGGATAATGTTGTCTGGCAAAAGAAGTAACTACCAGAATGTAACTTTTTAAATGTATACAATAATGAACCAGAAAGTAAGCAAAAGTCAAATGAAATAACATATTGAAGACAGACCTCTGAAAGTTAGTCCTTCATATACGATAGAAACTATAAAAATTATAATAGGAAGATACCAAAAAGATGAAAAGAAAAGGTAAAAATTGAGTTATACTTAGCTTAGTATTCTAACACTGAGAATGAGGCTCTTATATGCATATTACATGTGCTTATTGGGTTTTAAGATGCATATTTTCTTTTAAAAAGTACAAATTGTTGATTATATTTTCCTTAAAAAGTAGACATTGTTGATTAAAATACTCAAATTATATAACAAAATTTTATAAAATCTTTTTATTTCCTCAAAAAAAGATTATATGACACAAGGGCAAAAAAAATGCTTTTATGAACACAGAAAGAATCAGAACAAAATTTAATTCAAAAAGAAAGTTTACATAGTGAAATACTTCTTATGAATGACAGGGACTTTTTGTATAATTTATTTTGAGACTACATGTAACCCAACCATATACCTGTATAAAATTGTCTATCATTAGAAAAATTTTTTACTTTGGCTAGATAAGAAAAAAAATAGCAAAAAGATAAAGACATAAAAGATGATCTGTGATAAGAACTTCTATACCAAAAACAATGAGAAAGGAAGAAAAATAGAAGTGGGGGAGAGATTAGAAACTAAAAGTTTCCAAAATAATCCATGATTAGTGCCACCTAAGTAAATATGTAAATATTTACGTAATTCAGATTTTAAAAATTCAACTTCTGCTTAAATTATTACAACTTACTCTCTTTATCTTCCAACATTCACTAGATATCCACCTACATTTCAAATGACTATGAATTTAGACCAGTGGTCTACAAAGCAGGATGCACTCACCTAAGCAATAGCCAAGGTATTTATTTTTATCAAAAAGTATTTAAAACTTTACTAATCTATAGTATACCAAGAAACACTCACACTCTTATTCAGTTACACAAGTCAGAAGGTCTTACAACATGCACAATACTGCAGGTGAGGTGTCTGAAGGGCCTTTACTTTTCCGTTGCATTCTGGCGTATTGTGACACACCAAAGTTTGTGCATACCCACGTGTATTTAGGGATTATAGCATCTAATATTGGCTGATCCTCGTAAATTGGACAAGGGTTCTAAAAAGCTTCTTGCAAAGCATTTGTGAATTAAAGGTAATATTGACAATGCAACATAAGCAAATGAGAAAAGGCAGAACTGTCACCTCTCTTACTCTTAGTACCAACTCCTGGGTCAGCAACATTACACAGTGAAAACAGTGGCATTCTAATCAGGTCTGACAAAAATTCAGCTAGAAAATCAAAATTATCAAGTAGACTTTTGAAACATGGAAACTGCACTCACTACACTAATAATTCCTCACCCTAAAGTGTGCAAGCTTGAGACACCAGCTAATGGTAGCATGAACTATAACAATTAGCATGACATTTTAAAATAAAGTTTTTCATCCTGTTAAAATTTATTTTTTTCTCATTCTTTTAAAATTTCTGTTTGAGGGACATGGTTCACAATGTACCTATATTAATACTGTAGGTCATGTATATAATTTCTAAATAAGTAAGTATGTATATATGAAGGTATGTATTTAAAAGTCTGGAAAACCCCTGTGTAGAAAAGAACAAATGTACGAAAATGAGAGCCTGATTGATGAAAAGATGAGAGAGGAGGGAATCTGAATATGAAATAGTACCACTGAGAGGGAAGATCCAAGAAAAAGAGAAAAGAGTCAACCAGGACCTTGAAAGGGTCACTGGAAATGAAAATGATGAAGCAGGGAACATCACATCAAGTACGCATTCCCACATTCTCAAAAAAAATGTGCTTTATCAGTAAATTAGAAATTTGCACACAAAGGGCACCCTTTTCTCATATATTTTCTGGAGAGGCTTACAATTTAAAGCTATGAATCTAGAATTTATATTAACATCAAAATGGATAAAAATATATTTAGTATTAATTAATCAAACAATAACCTGAATGAGAGAATAGAATGCTATGCCCTGAAGGAGTTCCAGTACGTTCTGTTTTGAGGAGTATGTCCTTACATGATCAGTCAATAAGCTGCTAGTGGAATGAACAGCAGAGAAACTAACCAAGCAGGGACCACAGCCAGCCAGTGTTTTCATGAATGAAAAGAACACTACAGCATGGTTTATAAAGAAATCCAGTCAGCAGTAAGGTTATAAGAAATTCCTCTAGCTCTAAATCTAAGAAATAAAAGTACCTGCCAAGTTAGACAACAAACTCAAATTTTTAAAAAAAGAAAGAAAGCTGTTCTGTTTAAAACTACTTATGAAACACTGCCCACCAGGCAAAGATTTCACTTGGTACTAGATTGCTCGTGTGTGCTGCACACACATTATGAACAGCCAGGCATAACACTCTAGTTCAGGCATATCTAGGCATATGATTTCTGAACTAGTATAAGTATGGTCAAAGATGGAATAAGGGCCCTAACATTCAGAAAGTATTCTACTCCCATCCTCAAGGTTATCCTGTCACGTTTCCATACTTGTTTTGTGGCAAGGGTCAAATTTCCCTTTGACCTGTGTCAGAAGCCTGTGCTTACAGGTCAAATGCAGTGGCCCTGAATGCCCTTCCTTTGAGCCATTATTCAGGGTCTAAAAATTACAAAGGTCCTCAAGACTCCTAAAAACTTTAATAGAGTCTTTGAGAGCAATTTACATCAGATCACTTACCAACCCAAAGATCCTGAGTGGGACTCCAATAGGGAAATATGAAAATAATTTAGGATATTAAAGAAGCAAATAGTTTACCATTAAATAAATTACTACAGATCATCTTTGGCAGCTCAGGGGCCCAAGCCAGCAGTTCCTTCCCAAGAAGGAAGCTATAAGTCCAAACAAATATCAATTAATGACACACAGCATTATTAACTCATCTCTTATTATTTAGAGTATAGCAGGAGCATTGAAAATTTTAAATTGAAAGTCCATTAATAATTTAAAAATTATTTAAAAGATTTATCTTCTTAATGATTTTTGATTAGGCTGCCACTCACATTATTCTGAGTTTCCTTACATGACAGCTAACAGTTGATCCGGAGCAGACTAAGTGACAGAAAAATTCAGAGCCTAAAAATCAGTTGATGTGAGCCACAAATAGAAAATCAAAATACAACTTTAAAATTAATGGAAAAGGAACTCCCTGATACTCCAGGGAGAGCAGATTAATCTCCATTCACACCTGCATATTAGACTTATCAGGATAAGAAAGCACATGGATAAATGGTGACAGAAAGCATATAAATTTCAGGAAGACACAGTAAGCACAGACTAGGCAGAAGAGAAGGGAAGGACAAGGCAATTTCAAAACCACATTTTTTTGGCTAGGTTGTTTTAAGCAATTTTGGTAAACAAGATAGACTACTGATATTCTTAATTTTGTTTAACTTTGATGAGGAAAAACAAAAAGACTTTATAGTTAGTGATCATGGTTCCATCTTTTAAAAAGAACAGATAATGCTTATTAGAAAGTGCTTTTTATAGAAAGCAGAGAATATTTAGAGGGTGAGTAACAAGCCCACTGAAGACCAAATGCTCTAAAACTCCAGAGAAGTGTTTCTGTTTATTTTCAGAAAGCCATGCAGCCAACACCAGCAAACCTCTTAAAGAAACAAGTGGGGAATATCCAGGTTTTGATAGTTGGATCATTATTTATGTACTATTAATGCTCACTTCTTGTTTTTACCTCAGGATCCAAATTTCTGAAAACATACATTCTTGTTCTCTCCATCATTGCAAACAAATCAGGATTGTCTTTGGCCCACTTCATATCCCAGACATCTCTCCGCTCCAGTTTCAACAACTGGCCAATGACTTGCTGTCCTGTGCTGTCTGTCACCCGAGCATCCAAGTCAAAGAAGGTGAGAATGCCTGAGATGTTTATGACAGCAAGACGACTACGAAAAATGAAATTGGAGGAAGGGAAAAAAGTGTACAATTGACAGCAGTGATCACAAATATAATTACCTACAACCATTCTTTTTCAAAATCAGTTTCATCAGAACCTGGGCATAAGGTAGAAGTGGTTTTAAATAAATAGCTTTAAGCAAACTTTTATAAATTTGATAAAAGACAGGGACTGACGCTATTTTGCTTCATTGTGATGACAACGTATCCAAAAGGATTAAAGCAATTGGTATGCAAATAACTTTAAATATTATACTATAATTTCTACATTTTGCTCATTAGAGAAAGGCATCTAAACCAAACACAGTATAGCAAACACAAACATTTAAATACGAATACAGAATAGTAAAACCACACTGAACTATAAAACAAGTTTAAAACAAACACATATTTTAGCATTTATTACATAAATCCAACAATCCCAAATGGTAACTTCTAAACTTAACATCTGCATGAGGAGTCCTCAGACTTACCTGGAGTTACAATTCAAGGACAACTGGCAGGCTCGACAATTTAGGGAGTATTTCTGAAGCAAACCAACATTAGGAAGACTGTATCTCTGAATGGTGCCAGATTCACGACCCTATGGAAATTATTTCTGATTACCAAAGTATGTTTGCCATAATAACATTAAATTACAACTACAGACCCCTCTATATGTTCACACATTTGTTTAAAAAAATGGTGTCATGGCAAATTCTCAATTCTGACACCAACTCATGTTATGGAGTATATATTTATCTCCTAATTTAATTAAAACCTTTTTAAAGAGGCTGAAGGTAGTCTAATCTTTTTCATTTAACATTCAAGGAAGAAGTTAGAAACCTAGCTCTTTATAACACACAAATTCTTACATCACAAAGAAGAAACATCTAGGGTTATTTACAGTTGTAGAAGTTAATCAGGGTACATCAAAAGCTAAAATATAAAGCACTCATTGAATTAAATTTCACTTATGTGAAAAAATCTTATAGATTATGTGAAATAGTTGTTAATGAAAGTTGACATTTTTATCCAATAGCCATATCTATCTGGTACTATTTTGTGGCAAAAAGGCAATGATCAGAAAGCAGTGATACAATGAATATTAATTTAAATGTACTTAAAAATAAAACAGAATATGTTTCTCTGCAACTCTGTGCCAGCCTGGAGCCTGACAGATGAACAGTTAGTACAACAGACAGGGGAGAGCTGTGGTTTCTGAAGCCTCCTGTGCCTCACACTACGGCAGTGGGATGAAGTGGAGGGCCCCACTCAGCCTGTCTTTCCCTCTCCTCTTTTTAATCAGAGCAGCAGTGCTGCTGTGGCATGATTCTCAAGAGGGCCCTATCAGAAAGGCTGGGGAAAGTGAGGGGAGAAGGAGAGGATATTTTTTCATGTATAAAAAGGAGGTGTGGGCTTTAAATGATTTAATAGATTGGCATATGAAATAAGATTTTGGTTTTGAAAAAGGGGGTCCTGTGGCTTCAAAAGTTTGAAAAAGTAATGGCTCTAAAAACCATTTACAATTCAATAGTGGAAAGCAGTTTTAAATGCAGAAGATATCTTCTCCTTTAAAACTTACAGCTAGTATTTAAAAAACTAGTTGAGTGTTTCTAATAAGTAGACTCTGTCATTTAGGAATTACATCAGTTTCTGTGATTGAGTTGAGGTGCATGTTTTATTTTTCTGCAAATGGCAGAAACACAAGTAACAAGAAAAAACCCCCACCATATAGCAAAGAATCTAAAAAAAACAAAAACAAACATTCCACAGACCCATCTGAGACGCACCAAACTGCTTAAAGCACACCAAATTCATTTGGTGAGGAAAAATGAATACCACGATCTTAAGAAATTTTTCCCCCAGAGAATTAGCCAATTGCTAAAGAATGTAACTAGAACTAGAAATGGAAATATATGTTATTAAGGCTCTGATTACATAATTCAAATTCAATAATTCCACCAACATTACTACATCAAACATGTATCTCTAAAATTAATATTTTCAAATGTCAGAGCTTAAGAAAGACACTGTAATATTGATTTTATTTGAAAAATTCAGCAAAAATATGCCATGGAGTTCTTTATTTTACTGGCTAGCAAACACACCACCTCTGCATTCTAAGTCCTAGGAAAGCAGCTGAGCCAAAGCACTTTCTCCAATACGAAACAGCAGGCCACACAGAGGAGGAAACTTCCTAAGACCACTACCGCCATCCAATCCAACCCCCTCCACCCCCGCATCTGCTAACCCTTTCCGGGGCTCATTCAACCCAGCGTCAAACTCTCTCAGCAGCCCCTAATCTACTACTGTTATTTACACACAGCTGTTTTTGAGAATGATTAACAATTTGTCAGAAAATCTTTAAAACTTTCTTGCTTCTTATGTTGGACTTAGTAAAACTTAAGGTGCTCACAAAATGACATTCTAATCCAAAACATATTATGTTTCCCTACTTTTACAATTTAATTATTCATAAAATAAGTTTTTTCTTTACAACTTACCACAATCAGTGTCTTATCAGACGCAGTGACGGCACAAATTGGATCCCTTGTGCCCTAAAATGAATCAATTGTTAATCCTTAACAAAAACTTATTGAATGACTAATCTGGTCTAAGGTAGTAAACAATTCACTAAGAAAAATACTTCACTTCAACAACGTATTTATAACATTTACTGCCTGAGCACCTACTACATGCCAGGCACAGCACTGAGCTTAGACATAAAAGATGAACAGATGGCAGAAGGCCCAGCGCGTGCCCAAATGAGGAAGCGGGAAACGGCATGGCACGGCAACCACCCGGATGGATCTCAAGAGCATTATGCTCAGTGAAAAAAGCCAATCTCAAAAGTTACATGCTCCGTGATCCCATTCATAAAACATCCTCAAAGTGAAAAGCTATAGAGGCGAAAACAGATCAGTGGTTGCCAAAGGACAGGGATCGGAGGGTGGGTGTGAAAATTAAGAGAATGAGGAAAGTTCCTTTCTGGAGATAAAATTACACAAAATTAGACACACACACACTTAGAGATTAAAGAGTAGTGAAAACTGAATAAAAAATTGCTATATAAGAATAGTTCACAGTACCATTACCAATGTTGATTTCCTGATTTTGATACTATATTATAGTTAAATACAATGTCCCCATTGAGGGAAGCTGGATAAAGAAGTTCTATATGCTATTTTTGTGATTTCCTATGAGACTGATTACTTCAAAGACAATGGTTTTAAAAATCAAAGAAGAAAAAAACATTTAGGAAAAGTTTTTCAGAATAGAAATTTTTTAAAAGAATTAATAGAATAATATGTACTCACTGGAAAGAAATGCTTTCTCAGGTCTGAAAATAAAATTACAGTATTTCCAAATCTATAGATATTAACATTTTGTGGCAATAATAACATAATTAAAAACCACCCACTTGAATGGCTTTACTGTAATCAAGCACCCCATCCATTGACCCAGAAGGAGTATCGTCAACATGACAGATCCTGAAAAGAAAATTTCAGAGAATGTAGAAGAGTTATACCATTTCATCATCTCCAGAGCGATTAAAGAATTGGATGGGCACCAATAAATATTGTTATTTAATATAAATACCCTAATTATTTTAAAGAGTTCTTGACACACATCAACCTTATAAAGGTAGAAACTACCTGCTTTGTGTTTCCTAGTTATGAAGGTGATTTGTTCCTGAAAGCTGGGCCAAAAATACATCTAAGCAGTAAATCACATATTTCCAATGACTTTCATGAAGCCTCATATTTACATTACTCTGCAAATGAACATGAATCAGGAGTATTTCTAATCTGCTAAGTTTCCCTGTTGTTTCTCCATAATTGCCCTTCTACTGATACGCTTAATAAAGGTAAAACTTAAACATATTTGGGAAGCTCTAATTAATGGAATTTTTGTTCTGCAGTAAAGAATCCTTCCCTGTGTTTCCTGTGTTATGAAGACGTGCCATCTCTCTGATACCTTTATTATAAAACTATTCACACCACAGTATCACTGCTAGTTTACTTGTCTCTCCCACTAGATGGTGAGTTTCCTAGAGGCAAAAACTACATGTATCTACAGGGCCTAGCAGTGTCCCAGACTGTCAGGTGCTCAATGTCTGCTGAAAAAATACTAACATGAATGGAGAATAGAGAAGATTCATCATAGAGCAGCTATATGGTCCTGAGCAAGTTATATACTTCTCTGAGCCTTAGTTTCTCCATCTGGAAAATAAAGGTAACAATTCCCCCTTTGCAAGTGTTTTCAAAGGTATAAATAAAATTATTGCAAAACACTTAGGCACAGAGCCTGATATACAAAAGGGGTTCAAGAAATTGAGGTTGTAATATAATCACAGGGAAATCATGCCATTTTCTATCTTTAAAATACTATGAAATTTCATCATTAAATTGAAATCATAATTGTACTTTCATCAATGTAATGAGATCAAATGCTAAATAAATTTAATAGAAATATACTCATGCAGAAAGGTATACGAACTTAGAGGTGCTGTGTTTCTGCATTTTAATATACTTCTATTAAGTATATCCAGTTACTATTTCTATTTTCTTATCACAAAATAAAAGTCAAAGGTTAGAATAGGAGATCGCTCAAGAGATCGTTTGACCTACTTTCCTCTCCTAAAATAAGTACAGTACTTAGTACAAGAAAAGCCAATCTGAGTAAAGAGTTTCAGAGCCAGATAAGCCTGGCTTCAAGTCCCTTACCTACTTATCAGCTAGTGGACTTTGGCGAATGGTTTAAGCTCTTGTGTCTCAGCTTCCTCTCTGTGAAACAGGAATAGTAAGAGTATTGACTAGACTTACCATAGTGTCTGGCATATAAGAAATAGTCAGTGTTGGCTGTCATCAACCATATTTTACAGATGAGGAAACAGGTCCAGAGAGAATCTGCTCAGTCATTCCAACCAGTAAGTATATCTCAGATAGAAATATGAGGGAATGCTGCCTTTATTATTAAAACAAACACCAGAATCTCTTTAGCTGGCTCACAGAGGGCACTCACTCTATGGAGAGGCTAGACTTTTCGGTCCCAACTTTGTCCTAAAATGTACCTTCTCCCTGTGGATTGTGGAACTATTGCTTATTATTGCTACCATTGCTACATGCTGTCCTAGAAGATGCCAGAGATTCTTCCACTGAGTCTTTCGGAACTACCAAGAAGACAAGATAAAATATTTTTCAGTTGTTTTTTCCTGCTTCCACATGAATTCACATGTCCAAAACACTTTTACTGGGGACATATCTCGTATCTTAACCATGCACTCAGTACATGTGTGAGCCTTAAAGAGAAGGGAAGATTGCATTCAGATCTCAAGTATGTTTGAGGGAAGATGATCTGAGAAAGCAACCTGGGATTTCCGACATGACTTCCCACTGCCCACTCCCACCAACACAGGCCTATGCCCTCATTCAGAATCATTAGGTTGAAACACTGAACAAAATGCTTTACTTAAAGGCTCAGGTGAGCAACAAAGGACAAAAAAAAAACACAGTATCACTAACAGAGACAATATAGCCTACAAAACACAGTAAATGCAGCACACCTGGAGATTTACTTAGGGAATCCCCCATCCTGGATCCTAATTTCTCTGTGTGGGAGAGCTCTCTTTACCTCTGCTTACCAGAAATAGTTCCAACCCCAGACTCTCTGCTTTCCAGATCAAGAGTAAGAAGCCAAGTGACCCATCCACAGACTTCCTCCAAATCTGTGTCTAAGGATCTGACTCTCAAAAGGTGATTTAAACTAGAATCACCTCCAACCTCCTGGAAACACCGCTACCACTAACCCTTAAGACTGTAGTTTTGGTTAGACAGGCAGACCTCAACTGAATAATCAATTCAAGGATTATCCTTTCAGGATAGCATAATAATCCTAATATGGTAAGAGTAGATGACTGAGAGTGGCTATTTCCTTATAAAAACTCAGATTTCCTGCCTTTGTCTTTAAGAGCTTTCTTTTATTAAATGATTTTATTTTGATAAATTTAAACATCAATTTGATTTTCAGATTAATGGAAAAATATTTCTAGTAATCAAAACAATTCACAATTTTCAAATGACAATTTATAATTAATTATATATTGTTGAGCTACTAAAAAATGTGCATCAAAAGATATACCTTTCTCTTCCTTCTTTTCGAGACCGTGAGATCTGATTTATTTCCAATGCTGTGAGCTTCTTTGCCACACGATATTGCCAGGTATAAAATGCTTCTTTAGAAGCTGCTATCACATGGGTTTTAGTCATTGCAACAAATAAGGGCACTATTGAAAATAACATTAAGACAATTAGGTTTCAGTTACACAGCATCACAGAATGTTTGTGCTACAAAGAATTTCAATGATCACTGCATTCAACCTCTCATTTTACAGACAATACACCCCACATACTATCTCTGAAACCAGAAAAGAATCAGAAGCTTGTAGGACCATACAAATACATTAAATCAAAAACAATCAAAGACTTTAATGTCAAAGCTAGAACTATAGAACTCGTAGAAGAAAACTTCAGAGTAAATCTTTTTGACCTTGGATTAGGCAATCATTTCTTAGATGTAGAGCCAAAAGATAAGCAACAAAAGAAAAAAATTGCACTTCATCAAAATGAAATACATTTGTGCTTCAAAGGATGCCACCAATAAAGTGAAAAGACACGGAATGGAAGAAAATATTTGCAAGTCATAAATGTGATAAGTAATTATTTCTAGAGTATGTAAAGAACACTTACAACTCAATAAAATGACAAATAGCCCAGTTAAGAAATGGGCAAAGGATCTGAACAGACATCTCTACAATGAAGATATACAAATGGTCACTAAGCAAATAAAAAGATGCTCAATATCATTAGCTATCAGGCAGATGCAAATCAAAACCACAATAAGATCCCACTTCACACCCACTGCACTGGCAAGAATCAAGAAGTTAGACAATGACAAGCACTGGCAAGGATGTAGAGAAATGGTAGGAATGTAAAGTGGTGCGTCCACTTTGAATAACAGTTTGGCAGTTGCTCTTAATGTTAAAAATACAATTACCCTATGCCCCAGCAACTCCTAGGTATATTCAAGAGAAATGAAAACAAATGTCTACACAATAACCCATACACAAATGTTCATAACAGCATTAATGGTTCATAATAGCCAAAAAGCAGAAACAGCCTAAATGGCCATTAATTGATGAATAGATAAATCAAATCCCACTTCTTCACATCCCCCCTATTGTTTTTCCTTGGTTCAGACCATTGACCTTCCCTCTGATCTCATATGCCTTATATTTCCTCATTAATTTAGAAAAGAAAATTTCTCCAATATTCCTTCCTAATTTAGGGATATATTCTTCTAAACATTCAATTTTTTTAATCTTCCCTGTTTCTTGGAGAACATTTAATTAAGCTCTTCCTATGTAACCTTTGACAACATAGTCTAATCAAATCCTTTTTAAAGATAATATAACATAAAACTGAACACACTCATTCACACAAAATACATATTATTAAAATCCTTCATAAATGATCATTTTAATACCTTTTTCTAGATTTACAAATAATTAAAATAGTGTAAGACTTATGTTTCTATTCTTAAGTATTAAGCAAAGTAATCATTAATATGGCCTGGATAAAGGTGTGAAGGAATAGTATAAATGGCAGCTACTCTATTTTAGAGTTCTTGCCCCACCCCAAATAAGGAACATTTAAGGTAGTAAGAGACTTTGAAACTGAAAAAAAGAATTAGAAACCAGACTGATGGTGCAATGTTAGCTGAGTAGATAACAATTTTGGGATTCAAAGTCATGAATTTTTATATGCTAAATAAATCAGTACATTTGAATCATATTTTAAAAAATGTTTTCATTAAAAATTGTCAAGATTTTTCTATTCAAAAACGTGTATTATTACCAAACTCCAGAGGGAGCTAGAAGCCTTTCATGTGGGGAACAATTTGTGGAAAGGCAGTCCTTTGAGGGTGGCAGCAAAGCCCCTGGAATTAGCATGCCAGGCCCACGCTTTGCTCAGTTTTTTCTGACCCCATCTTCACTAAATCATTAAGACATTTGCTAAATGTTTCATAAATTCTACCATAGATACTCAGATGCTGATATTAAGCCCTTAGTGTGATTTTCACAATAAACCTTAACTGCTTTCTAATAAAATATTTTTTCCTGAGCATATAAAAGCATTCCTCTAACCAATGACTACCTACAATTATAAACTGCACTCACTTCCTTTCTTTTTGATACACCCTAAATAATTACAAGATTTTATCATTAGACTGATTAATTCAAAATTAAAATGTTAGTGGTTCATGGTAAGAGTTAGACTTTTAGACTTCAAATCATAAGCACTTGCTAACCCTGTGGCCTTAGACAAATGTCTTATTCTTTCTGAACCTCAGTTGACTTAACTGAAATTGAAGATGATAGTACTATGCACCTTACACAGCTGCTTTAAAGATTAAAAGATAATAAATATAAAGCATGGTGCAGTGCCTGGTATAGAATAAATGCTTAATAATAACATGAAAAGCTAATGTTTATTGAATTTAAAACTATGCCAGACATATATTTTAAGGTAAATATATTAATTATAATTTTATAATTGTAATATGTATAACATCATCAATAATTACATATTATATATCCTCACACTCACAACCACTCTATGAGGTAGTCCTTATTATTATCCCCATTTAACAGATGAAGAACTGAAGGATGAAATGGTTAAATAACTTGCTAAAGTTGCACAGCTAGAAAATGGTGAATCTGGGATAAAAAACCAGTTAACGTGGCAGCAGAACCTGTGCTCGTAAGCACTACGGCACACTGCCTCTTCCTAAGGGTTAACAAGCGTTAGGTGTGGTTGCTATTATTGCCTTTACTTTTATTACTTACATAGGTTTTTTAAATATAAAACCACATACAAATCCACTAGTGACTACAAAAAAAAATACAAATATGTCTGAAACATATATTCTTTTGAATCAGTATGATAGTACCTTCAGCAAAGTCAAATGAGTAGATAATCCTACTGACAAAAATTAGGCTAGATCTTTATTAACAGACCCATCCCATCCATGCGGATTTGTTCTTAGTTTCTTAGAACTAAGTCTCTAGGAAAATGTTAGAAATCCAAATTTTAACAGAGAGAACATTTTAGGAAGAGAGCACAACCAGTATAAAAGCACTCAATGTCCTTCTCAACTATTCAATATCTGGAAAGAAAAAATTCAAAATACCTAGAAAGATATTGGAAAAAATTTTTTAAATAAATAATTATGCATCCATTAATTGAACTTTGTAATGCACATAAATCATAGTTAGTAGCCAAGCAAAGATATAGAACAATCTAGGAATTCACACGTAAGTAGAACCTGCTTGTATCATTTTAATACTGAAGTCTGCAATAAATGTCTTCATCTAAAATGTTTCCCCACTTTCTTACTTATTCACTTCTAAATCCTTTAAAAAGCTGGGAAACTGAAATTGCACTGCACTATTACCTCTTTCTGGAATATATGGAAGGCGCAGTGCACCGCCAGAAAACATCATTAGCCAGCGTCCAAGTGCTCTGACCAAAATGGCTGCAGTTTGGTACATGGTACATTCTGACACATAGTACTTTCTAGGCATTTCTCATGACTTCATTCCTCTGCAAATACAGATTTCTGTCCTTAAAATGTCACTGGAAGAAATACTTATCCTTCAAAACTCAGTTAAAACAAAACCTTCTCTAAGTAGAAAAGAGGTCCCCGACGTCCTTTGACACCAATATCCACTTATCCAGCACCTAGCACAATACCAAGCACACAGCAGGTCAGCAGTACGTAGTCATTCAATGGATTAACTGTATTTTATTTGTTTAGACACTATGGGAAATGTCATAATTTCTTTTCACGTACAGTTCCTGAAACAGTATATATTCATTGTATACTCACTGATGCTTTACTAAATAAGTGAATTATCATTTTCTATTTACATGATAGAAAATAAATATTTTCCATGCATTCAATAAGCATTTGTTATAGGGTAAGCACAGTGCTAAGTAGTGTGAATACAAAAATTCTTAAGACATAGATCTTGAAGAAACTCAAAATATTGTGGAGAAGACAAATAAGAATATCAATAGAGTATAGAGGAAGAAGTACTTTGAATAAAAGGTATTTTGGAGTCTCAAAGGAAGAGCACCAAAACGGGGCACCTAACTCCTACATGTACAACACAGTCCCACAACCTATACTTCTATAAAAATGTGTAAAGTTCTGATTAAAGTTTCTATAGAGATTTGACCAAAATGGCTGCAGTTTGGTACATGGTACATTCTGACACATAGTACTTTCTAGGCATTTCTCATGACTTCATTCCTCTGCAAATACAGATTTCTGTCCTTAAAATGTCACTGGAAGAAATACTTATCCTTCAAAACTCAGTTAAAACAAAACCTTCTCTAAGTAGAAAAGAGGTCCCCGACGTCCTTTGACACCAATATCCACTTATCCAGCACCTAGCACAATACCAAGCACACAGCAGGTCAGCAGTACGTAGTCATTCAATGGATTAACTGTATTTTATTTGTTTAGACACTATGGGAAATGTCATAATTTCTTTTCACGTACAGTTCCTGAAACAGTATATATTCATTGTATACTCACTGATGCTTTACTAAATAAGTGAATTATCATTTTCTATTTACATGATAGAAAATAAATATTTTCCATGCATTCAATAAGCATTTGTTATAGGGTAAGCACAGTGCTAAGTAGTGTGAATACAAAAATTCTTAAGACATAGATCTTGAAGAAACTCAAAATATTGTGGAGAAGACAAATAAGAATATCAATAGAGTGTAGAGGAAGAAGTACTTTGAATAAAAGGTATTTTGGAGTCTCAAAGGAAGAGCACCAAAACGGGGCACCTAACTCCTACATGTACAACACAGTCCCACAACCTATACTTCTATAAAAATGTGTAAAGTTCTGATTAAAGTTTCTATAGAGATTATCAGGAGGAAAAGTGGGTAGTAAAACAAAAATTACATTTTCTAGAACATATCGGTTGCACACTTTTTTGTTTTAGCATACAGCCCTCCTGAAAATCTGGCATAGACACTTCAAAAAAGAATTTTACAGGATATGTATGAAACAAAAATACTGAGTCTTTGGCACCAATGAAAGAACTGTTTGTTAAAATTTCAGCCAGCAAGACTGCAAACAAAAAGTTTCAAGACTAAAAAATACAAATAATCATGCCCTCAAGTATTTGCTATTTTATGAAGGTGAAGGATTTACATCTGGCTTTATTAAAAAATAGACTACCTGTGATCAAAATGACTTTGGGGCTAACCCTATCATCATTATGATTCTGTTAAAAGGTGGTATCAAAAGAAAAAGCACATAATCTGAAGATGGACAGGATTCACCTCTTAAAGATGGTTATGTTTCTAAATAATAGAAGATATTCGTGTTATAAGAGTAATAATTTTAAGCTAAGCCTTTTTTAATAAGGAACACTAAAATGTATCATGTACATAATATACAGGAACATATAAACATACCTATGTAACAATGAACATAAGACATGAAATTGAAAGTTTCAATATATAAAAATGAGTTACCAAGACCCTAAACATAGAGTATCTATAAAATCTTTGAAGCCACTAAGTATTTCTCACATTTTTTGTATCACCCAAAGAGCTTAGCAAAATACAAACATTTAGAAGGCAGACACTAATATTTCATTCAGGCTCAGTGTGAAATCTGAAAAAAAAAAATGACTAGCTCTCAGATTCAGGAAATAATTCAGTGGGTTTTCAATGTTTGAAATCTAATAATGTTACTAATACCACCTCCAATTAACTATCATACATTTTAAAAAAAACATTACTTTTGGAAGTTATAGCGAAATGGCAACAAAATATTTGGTGATGATTTTCAACAAAATTCTTCAAGTAAGATTTGGAATTTTTTAACAATTACTTTCACAGCTGGTGGATAGAAGGAAGAGTAGATCTAATCTATCATACATTTTAAAAAAAACATTACTTTTGGAAGTTATAGCGAAATGGCAACAAAATATTTGGTGATGATTTTCAACAAAATTCTTCAAGTAAGATTTGGAATTTTTTAACAATTACTTTCACAGCTGGTGGATAGAAGGAAGAGTAGATCTAAAATAACAGAAGTCTTATAAAACAAAGAGTCAGGAATTTTTGCAAGCTGTCCCTATTAAGAAACTGATCTCATTAGAAAAATCTGCAAAGAGCAAACTCACTTTTACAAGCAGCTGAAGTGTGTTTATGGAAGAGCGGTTTTGCAAGTAGTTTATTAATAATGAAGTGGTTTAACGGTGAAGTGCAATACTGCCTTCTACGATCCTCCACTTACTACATACCAATCATTACGTTGCATACCAATTCCTATACAATCATCTCCCATTTCAAACAAATGATGGCAGTACAGCAGTTGTGAAATTATTGTGGATTTTTGGTAAACTAACCTTATAATTTATTATATTAACCAGGCTACATCTGAGAGTGAAATGGATGGAGCATTATTAATAATTTTACCATGACAACAGACATAAACTGGTACTAGACCTGGCGAACCACGAAGAATGGCCATCCTTGTTTTAGAGAATTCTGTTCTAATTAATGATACCATTGTTAGGTTTTTAAGTGAGCTTACAAATACAATTTAATTAAAGAGGGAATGAATATTAACACTTCCTTACCAATATCAATGTATTTGGGATCCAAAGGTGTGCCAATAGAATTACAAAGAATTAGCACAAACTGTGAACAAACAGAACAAAGAGTATCAGAATTCGGCTTATGCTCAATAAAGGAAATATGCTTAACACATCTATTCCTCTTTCAAATATCACCAAATGGAAAATAATTGATAAAATTGTTAAATGCAAAGAATAGCAGACAAATATAATCTTCAGCATTAAAAATAAAGAAAAATGAATTAAAACCAAACTTCTCAGTGTAATAGAACACTGTGATTTTTAGGACACTTAAAAAACACAAATACTCTTACTACTTTTCATTATTTACACTTCTAAAATTCCTAATTAACTATAACCTCAAAACTCATTTTTATCCCGTAACCAGCTATATAAGAGCTCATTTAATTTTTTACCGTTGCACCAAATGTTTCCATCTCATTCTCCTCCTTTGAAGCAATGTATAAATGACATGAGAAATTCAAAAAATTCAATTAACTCAGAAAAAACAGAAGCCAAGCATGTGAAAATTATTTAAAATGCCCATTAGTTAACACATACACAAATGTTTATCAATGATTAATATTAGGAAAAATAACTAAGAATAATGAACAGTTTACTCAGATTATCTCAAAGTAATCATTTCATTTTTCTTACTGTTCATCACCTTTTCTATATCTTGTACTAAAAATACTAGTTCCAAAAGACTTAACAGACAATATGACCCCCCCAAGTTTCCCATTTCCTGCCCCCCAAAATAGTTACTTTTAGCACCTTTAACTCATCCTCTTGATAAATCTCAGTAACATGTTTATAATGCTACTTCATATTTTGTTTTGTTTTGTTTCAATTTGGGACATTATCTACTGACTTCCCACTATCAAAGCTAGGCATGTAGCTCTCTTTTACCCCTTTCCAAGTTTCCCATCACACAGGAGCACGCTTCATTCCCTCCATCTTTCCACATATAATTTTGTTAGATCAGAATTTAGGGCTTAATATGTTTATTATACTTTGCTTTTTTTAATTTTAATAAAAATACAATGAGTAAATCATTTTGAAAATGCAAATGCTATTCACAGCTGAGTCATCAAGATTATCAGGATTTGTTCTCCAGTCAAGCACATTTTGCTTTCCCTGTAATTAGTGTCTTTATTTTTTCTCTTTGCTCAGTTTTCTCTGTATTTATTACTAACTCAAGGCCCCAGTTACCTCTCAGTTATGTATGTCTGCTCTCAAGGGTTCCACCACATTAAGTATTCCATTAATTTCACCTTGAATTTCTTTGGAATCCTGTGACCTGCTCTCATCTGCTGACTGCCTAGGGTCCCTGTGACCGCTCTTCACCACTGTTGTCAGGTGATCCTAGTTCTTCTATGGTTTATTCCTCATTTCGGAAGACCATATCCTAAAGTAACTTTCTAAGGTAAGGAAGCATGGAAGATACATTTCGAGGGACCTTGTACATGTAAAAGCACCTTCAGTCTACCTTTATTTTAATTAGTAGTTTGCTTAAGATATGGAATTCAAGATGCGAAACCATTTTCTCTCAGAATTTTAAAGCAATTCTCCAAAGTATTGCAAGTGGCAAGTCAAATATCATAATGCTACCTGATCCTATGAAATCTGTTTTTCCTCTCTGAAAGCTTGTGGGATCGTTTTTTTATCTCCAGAGTTCTGAAATTTCACAGTGATGTGCCTTGATGTGGAAATATTTTTATTCACTGAGCTAGGCATTTTCCATCTAGAAACTCAGGAAATTTTTCCTAATTTTTTTTTTTTTCCAGAATAATTCTCCTTCATTTTGCCGGTTCACTCTTTTTAGAACTCTTATTCAAATGCTGAACTTTCAAGGCCTGGTCCTCTATTTTTCTTACCTTTTCACTCCTATTTTTCATTTCCTTTAACTTTTTGCCCCACTTTGTAGTTCTCCTTCACTTCACTTTATAACTCTCTGCTGAAGTTTTCATTGCTGTTATGTTTGCAATTTCCAAAAACTTCCTTTTCTACCATATCTTTTCCTTGTTTTATGGATGTAATATCTCTTAACTTTCTGCAGATCATTTGAAATGATGACTCTTTTGAAGTGTTCTTCCTTCAGTCTGATTGATTCCTCCCAGTGCTCGTCTCCTTGTGGTGGTGGGCTTTTCTCTTTTTGTCTGTTCAGTTAGGTGCTTTCCTTACATGTCTGATAACTCTTGTCTATCTGCTTATATTTCAGAGAGGGACACTAAAAAGCTGTTTGGACTCTCCTTGTTTAGGGGTGAGGCTCGTTGACTCTAGTCTTCACAATAAAGTGACTGAGCAGGATCTCTCCCTGGGACTCCCCTCCAGGTCTCTTCTCTTGCCCTAGTCAGACTGTCCAGAGGGAACTCCCGCGATCCCCCGCCTGAAAGCGGCAGTGCCAGTGTTCTGGGAACCAAATAGGAAATGATCACTGGGGAACACTGAGAAGTAAATAAATTAATGGCCTTCTTTCCCATAGATTTCCTCTACCCTCGCCCCTGCTAGGTGCCCTTCAGTGCAAAGACACTTAATCTTCTCTGGGGACTAAATCCCAGCCTCCCAAGGTACTAGAAGGGCAGCTGCCTATGGGCTCAGGAAAGGATCTAGGAACTTGCTTCTTTTTATGCCTTTTTTCCTTTTTTTTAAGTTTTCTCTTTTCTGCATAATCTCTGGGACTTCCAAATTACTTTTTCTGATTGTTTCTTTCTCCTACCAGCTACTATCAAGTCCTGTGTCATTTTGGGATTGTGGTATGGAAACTGCCTACTTCTTTGTTTTCTCCCCTGATGATTTAGGATTCAGCTTTCTAAGGTCTGCTAAGTAGTTACCACTAATTCACCTACTCTCTAAGCTCCAAAACTAAGCTCTGTTTTTTCTCCCTTTCTGGTCCCTATGGCTATGACTTTTTAAAAAATACCTTTACTGTAACAGCCACATGTGGCTGTTCAAATGGCCACCTTTAACAAAAACTTTGTATTTGTTTTATACTTTTTAATGGGGTAAAATAATTAATTACATAGCCAAAGACAGTAATAATCCTTTTTTGAATAATTTACATGCTCCTGCAAACATTTACATTGTTATCATACCTGTAAAAAAGGCCTTATTTTTTAAAGCAATATAACTCCAAATAAAAGTGTATTTCTCAATGTCAAAGCTACCCAGTGTTATAATGGTCATTGTTACATAATTTCGTGAGCATTTATACTAGACATCTGGATATTCATTTTCACTTATGGAATTTTAACTTGGAAAAGAATTGTGGTATTCTAAATATATTTCAGAGACAAAAAGCTTCAGTACTGAACTAGTCAATATGAAATGCCAATGGATTAGCTGATAGAAGAAAAAAATCAGGGGACACAGAACCAATGAAGTCACATAATTTTCCAAAACAGAGGTCTAGTCAGACATGGTCAACAGACTTGCTGTACCTGCCAGTATAGAAGCCATGCTTGATAAGACAGGTTACTATAGCCCAAATCTGCCAAGTAGTTAACTCATCTATGTTTTAAGATACTGAGGAACACCTACCTGAGGATGATTTTCATCAGCTTTTGTAGCCAAAATGCAGAAGTCTCCACAGGTGGTAATAGAAATGAGGTTCTTCACATATTTAATGTACTTCTCATTGTTTTTTGTATCCCAAAAGATAACACAGTACTCTGGACGATCAGGTCTCATATAAGCATAAACTATGGTATTTGAGCAATAACCCCACTAGGAAGAAAGGGAGAAGGGGAGGCAGGGAATAGGAGTGAAGAAGAGAGGGTAAGAGACAGAAAAGAAGACAGAATATTGAACACTGGGGGAGAAAAATCCTAGTATTATGTTTTTACTCTAGAAATATTGCAGATATTTGGTTTTATCAGTGCTAAAATATTTTTCAGAAATAGAAGACAGAAGGACTAAACATTCAGCTTAGTATCTTTTTTCTAAAATAACAAAAAATCTAAAAGTAATACATTTATCAAAGAATGTACTACAAAGATAAATTTAATTTGTTTAGCTTTCCTTATTTTAATTTGTAAGATTTAAGCTTCAATGGTGAAAATTTCAGATTTTTCAATAGTCAAGCATGAAGAACAATAGGAAAATTGATCCCTGTCAAAAATTTAAATTCTGGGTCTCGAAGGCAAAATTCAAAAATAGATGCTTTGCCTTTTGTCTTCCATCCACATTTTTAATACTTGTTTTTATCAGAATAATGTACACACATGGTTTATAGTCAAATAATTCTACATGGCTTTTTTTTTTATCCAGACCCCTACCTAACCTGTTTCATTTCTCATTTGTGGGATCATCATTGATTTCATTTTCCTGTAAATGAGTGGATTCTCATGATAGAATATATAATATCTCTATGGCTTGAGAGAATCCTAGCAATCTTTGTTTGCTTAGTCTTAAACAACCCTTTACAGACTGGGCAGTTAAGTCCCAGAATGAATAACCAGCTAGTCAAGGAGAATTGACAACTCTTTTAGCTTTAACTGTTTTGGTATTTTATCTCCATATCACATATGTATTGATCATGGAACTTTCCACATACAGCTTTCCCTTCAAGCTAACTCTCCCAATATATTTATGTACCATTTTGAATAAATCAATATTCGGAGTCTACAAAAGTTGCAAACATAGTAGCATTCCTGCAGTCCTCTCCCACTTCCTCCTCTTGCTAACATCTGACATTACAACGGTACATTTGTCACCACTAAGAAACCGGCATTGACACAGTGCTATGAATGCAACTCCCGGCCTTATTTGGATTGCACTCATTTCCTCAAAGTCCTTTTTCTATCCCAGAATCCTATTTGGGATACTTATATTTAGTCATCAAGTCTCCTTAGACTCCCCTGAGCAATGATGGTTTCCCAGTCTTGTTCTTGAAAACCTTCACAGCTTTGCGTACTGCTCAGGTATTTTGTAAAACGTCCTTCGATTTGGGTTTGTCTGATGCTTATGTCATGCTCAGAATGGGATTAACAGTTTTTAGGAAAACCCCCACAGAAGAGCTCTTACTGTCATGTCACATCAGGGGGTATGTGATATCCATGTGACATCACTGATGATGCTGACCTTGATCACCTGCACAAAACAACGTTTGCCAGGTTTCTCCACTGTAAGTTAACTTCTTTTCCCCCCTTCATACTCTACTCTTTGCAAGTGACTCACTACATGCAACCCACACTCAAATTGGGAGAGCGCGGGCCACACTCTACTCTTGGAAGGGGTGGTGTCTAGGTAAATTCACATACTTATGTAAGGAAGATTTGTTTCTTCGCCCCCATTTATTACTTAAATAATTTATTTATATCCATTTACACTCATGGACATTTATTTTATAATTTGGGTTACAGCCCAACATTCTATCATTTATGTGTTGTCCAAATGACTCCAGCTTCCGCCACTGGTTGCTCTTTAGATTGGCTCCCTGTCTCTTTGGCATGCCCCCATCCGCTGGTTTGGGAGCATCTCCTGTTTGAGCACTCTCTGGCATGGTAAGATACTCCAGGCTTATCTTGCTTTTTCCCATGCTAGTTCTGGAATCAGCTATTTCTCCAAGGTGCTTTGCCTTTTAAAATTTGGATATCTAAGTTTTTTCATAACAAGTGTTCTTAGTAGTTTAGCAGATCAATCTCACACTTCATAATTTGTTTTGGAACAAATGTTAAATTTGAGTTAAAATACTGATTAGTTATTATGCTGCTTATTCTCATTTTCTCCTTCTGTCCGATCCATTCTCTGCCCTTCTCTACCCTACTTTGTGCTCTGAAAGCTGTCTTCCCACAAACTCTGTCACCTGAGCTTGCCTTCTGGTTTCCAGTTGTGTTTAGCCAATAGGAGACACCAGCAGGTGGTGGACATATGGGTAGCAGTGTTTATTCCCACAAGTTGTCTCTGCCCAGCCAGCTGGCAGAGGCTGTGCTTCTGCAGGGTAGTCCCTCTTGCATAGCCACAGCTCCAGGGGGTTCTGGGAACACTTCTTCACCTTGCCCACTGTTGCTAGTCTCTGGGTACTTGCTTCGTCATACATACTACCATCCTTACTGGTCCCCTAAACTCTGTCCATACCTCTATCATAAATGCTTCATCAGTCTCTCTTCAATTACTCCTTTGAGTATGCCACCTGTTTCCTGCTGAGATCCCGATTGTTGGAATAATTTTACTAGTTATATATAGTAATCTAGGAAAGGTTACTAAGGGCTTCACACTAAAAAAAAGCCTCCTTTCAGCTAGTTTCTAAAATAAAGAGGCTATGAATATACATAAGAATTAAGCATTATACTTGGAGCTATAACAAAATTATTAAGTAAAAAATTGGTTTGGTTTCCTTTTTTTTTCTTTCAATTGCCCATAACACTCACCTTATAATCAGGTCGAATATTTGCAAAATATATGAAAGAATCAACAGCTAATGCAATTCTCAGTCCACCTCCTTCCCAAGACAATGAAGACATCTCCTTACCAGGAACCTTCAAAGTACCCAAATGCTGAAAAAATAATTATATTTAACCTTAAGTATCACAAATACAATACAAATTATTATCAATCATTTCACAGAGATCAAAAGTGGTACGAAAATTATTTTGTGAAAGGTTATTACTAACCTCAAAATCATTTTCCATGGATTTTTATAATGAAAATTATACAAATGATAGCAGAAATTTACAAGATGCAGACAAAGAATACAGTATCAAATTTCATCTCATCTACCAGAGATTTAAATATCCATCTTCAATTTTATGTACAATTAAGGACAGAAAAAAACACATTGCTAATCAAAATAAGACAACTTTGATTATAAGATGCATCCCAATTTTAAAGCTGGAAAAAATTATGCTTCTTAGAGTCAAAAATTATTATAGTACTAAACTCAACCCTTGAGTCTTACCTCTCTTTCATCCCCCACAGCCACCCAGCCATCAAGTCCTATTGCTTTCACGTCAACCTCTCCTCCACTGCAACTGCCTCCCTTCTTGAATAAACTAAGGGGAAGAGCCTCCTAACTGCAATTTTTACCATTCATCTCTTTCCTCATTCCTGCCCTCTACGCCCCCCTAAATTCAATCTCCATTCTGGTGTCACAGTTCTCTTTATGGAACATAATCTGATCATATCTTACCCAGCTTTCAAAATTTTTTAATAATTTAAAAATATCACTAGCTCCCCACCATCACATGTTTAGCATAGTAGAGAATGTCTTTTCCCATCTGGCCCAAAACTACATTCTTTGGCTCAGTATCCCGCTCTTTAGCCATAATTACTGTGTTCTCACTCATGAGGGAACTACTGCGCCTCAATACCTTTGGCCCACATAACATGTCTTCTGCCTGAAAGCCTCTTCCCTTGCCCCCACACCTCCCTGTCCTTACTATTTCTGGTCCTCCTGGAGGACTCCATTCATCCTACAAGATAAAACTCAAATATTGTTTCCTGCCTTCTTTCCTCCCTCTATGATTCCAGAGAGTTTAGACACTGAGCTACTTGAGAGCATTAACTTTATCATTTTCACATTTATTTCCCTATCCCTTAATAGATTCTTGGTAAAGAAGTCCTCAACAAATATCTATTAAGTAAGTATATATATCCTGCATTCAAATTAATTTACTCATATACAAACAGTATATTTTGTGGCTACATTAATGAGTGAATAAATGAATACAAAGATTTTTTTTAATGTGACCATAAAAAGAAAACATTTTTAATCTATGCTTATTTGACAAAACAAATCAATCCCAAAAACTTTAGTAAATTACACTGGTATCCCTTGTTCTTAGGCAGATATGCTCTAAAGGCAAATTTAATGTGTTCATTCCATTTTGCCAAAGAAACCAAAGGGACAAAAGTTTTAACCTGCAGGGGGCTGGGGGTGGGGGCATCTATTTGTTCTGCTGCCCTGTATGAAATCAAAGGGAAGTTGCAGGCTCTCACAACCGCACTCTCGTGGTGTTGACAGCTCACACCGCATGAAGGCCATTCCCTAACTCTGCAACCAGCCAGGCGGTGGCAGCCAGGAAAGAAAACCAGCTTTTGTAAGCGTTCATCAGCACAACAGAGCCACAGCGCAGTACCTTTAGTTCAGAACAGAAGTAAACTGAGTCTTAGAAGTCAAATAACTTCTCTAAGTGAAGCTTCATTGTGGAAACAGAATTTGAAGCCAAAGCCATGTCAACCTGACTACAAGCCCCATGTTCTGCTATTGCCCCCTCCAATGGCTAAGATCAAAATGCAAAAGCCAGGAGAACCTACCCTTCAGAATCAAAAGCAAATTCTTCCCTAAAGTTTTAAGCTTAAATCTTTAGTATCTTCCTTCCAAGTTATCTCCCCTATCTTAATAACAAATCCAAAATAAGCCCTCATATATTCACTCATTCAAAAAATACTAAGTGACTAATATAACACCCTGAGGAACTATGCTACTTTTCATAACTACTATGCCAAAAACCACTTACACTTTTCAATTCAACAAACACTGTTTTGCAAGGTAAAGCAAATAGGCCTTAGAATATCCATGTTTTTTTACTTGGAGAAGGTTGGACGAACAAAAGTAAGCAGATAAAACAATGATAAATACGCCAGTGGTGACAAAAATAACCAATAAAGACTGTGAATTAAGGGAGGCTACAACATTGAAATAGCTAGAATTCAGATTTCTTAATTACTTAGGAACCTTGAAAACTCTGCTTCTGTTTTTCTTAGCTTTTGCATCTACCAGAAATATTATTAGCTAGCAATGTACAGAGAGCACCTACTCTCTAAATCACATTCCATAGGTAACTTTAAGCATCAATTGACACCATTTCTTACCCTTACAGAATTATTAAAATATATTAAAAACAGAAATATTTAAATATTTAAACTGGTGAAGGCATTTGTGTAGGCAAAAATATATATTATTGAACTCCATGGTGAATTTATAAACAATAACAGGATACCCAAAAGGGATGGAATATAATCTAGAGTTAAAAAATAAAATAGGAAAAAATTTATTAAGCTTAGTTACTAATAAGTTCTCATCTTCTAAATGTTTTAAAACTCACAATACATTAGTTCTCTTATTTGAACTGCTACTATGAGAAATTCTCTTTAAAAATTAAATTAATTAAAATTAAATTAACAATACTATTGAGAAGGATAACATATAAATGTATGAAAACAACGCTTAATTTAATGTAGTGTCACAGATTATTAAAATAGATTTTCTTAAAGTAATTGATTATTCCATAACAAATTAAAACTATTAGAAGTTTGGGGAAAGGACAGACAGCTATATTTGTTTAATATCTATGTGTATTTAATTATCACCTAAAAATCTGAAAAATTAATCTGAAACAGCTAAATTAAACTAAAATAATTCAAACACCAGCTGGGAAAAGAGATGCCTATTCAGATCACAGAGTAAATATTCTAAATAACCACTCCATAGTCATTTCTTATGTGAAACATCTGGCTTTCTAAATGTACGGATTATAAAATAAACTCCATGGTGAAATACAATTATATAGACTTATGAGGAGGTTATTCAAAGAACACACATCTGATATTTTTACCCATATGTCATTTTTACTCAAAATGTTCATTTTAGAAATGTAACAATTTTATACCTCTTCCTCCACTCATTTTTCCCCTACCTTACTCACTGCATTTTTAATCAAAAGAAAAAAAGACAAAATGTTTAATACATTTACCTCACCAAAGGGAGTGTAAAACTGCACAGTGTTTATATTTTTGTCCTGAGTGACAACCTTCTGGGAGCCTGCCACAGCTAACACACTACCAATGTGGTTCCACTGAATATTTACTACATTCATGCCAGTATCGATTAAAACAGCATCTAGTCAAAAAGAAAAAAATGAGGTAATTGTGGTAAAATACTTAACCTAGAAAACTTTATAATCTTGAGAACAATTTTTAAATAATTTCTTAATTCTTCACATTAAAAAAAAAGAAAAATTACATACTTTGGTCATTCTCATGTCTCATTATTTGGCATCTCCCATTGTCAAAACAAACAGCAAGGCAGGGGCGATCGGGCTCCACGTAACCTCCTGTGCCGTGGTACCAATGAATTCCAGCAATACTGACTGCTCCAGTGACATTCACCAAACAATTCAGTTTCATTTTCATCTAAATAGATCAGTTAGATTTATATTTTGTATTTTAAAATAGATCAGTATGAGTAGAGTATTATAGAAAGAGCACTGAAAATAGGATGTAACAACCTGGTTTCAAATGAAAGCTCCAGCACCCACTGGTTTGCCCACCCTGGACAAATCACTGAGCTTTGGTTTTCCCCATTTGCAAAATGAGGATGAAAAACATTCACAGAGTTTATAGGCGACTCAGATGACAAGAGGTATATGAAAGTACTTTGAAAATAGCAAAGCATCATATAAAAATTGGTTATTATCACTTCCACCAAGGAGTGAATTTCTGTAACATCCTAACCCTAAGAACAATCCTGCACCGCAAGTACATTCAGAGACCCACCACGGCTAAAGCTTGCAAAGCCAGAGTTTTTCTTGAGCTTATGCTACCTGAGCCTATTCTTCTATTTTGCCTTCTTTCCAGGACCTAATTTTTTTGTTCCTTACCGTTTAAGTCTTCCATTCTTTCTACAAACAACCTTTAGTAGAACTTGTTACAAAAAACATATTTGGTCCCTCATGTAAACTTTGGCTCCAGGTATCAGAAGACACATTAAACTGCACATTATCCTACTCATTATCCTAAAGCTTCAACATAGTGAAATCCCGTCCTTTCCAGCTACTAGAAAAATCAGAACTAAAGACATTATTTTTTCTTGAAGAAACCCAGGAGTTTTTTTAACAAAAAAAAGTTTTAGGTAATTGGAAAAAAACCTGGATTGAAGACTTCCTTGATTATATAAACCATCATAAATAAATGTGTGTGTATACATATGTGAAGGATATATAAAATAACCATATAAAATTTATAAGTAAAACCAAAGAATATATAAATATATATACTTACCACAAAATTCCCTTGATTATCATAAATGTGTATTTCTCCATTTGCCATTCCAAAAAGTAAGATTTTACTATCTGCAGACCATGCTACATGGCATAACTGTACACCCTTCAGGTCTTTTCCCCAAATGCGATTCCCTAAAACAAAACATAAAACACAATTACTTCATCAAAAGTTCAAGGTCATGATTCCCCAACAACTGCTCTAAAAATCTGCTTCCCTAAAGACCTCTCAGCATTCTTCACTGCATTCATGGGTTCATTCAATTTATTCAGTCACCAAACATTTGTTGAGTACCTACTATTTACCAAATATCCAACTAACCATTTGAAATTTCAGCTATTTCCAACTTTCTCCCATCTCTTCTAAACTCTAAACCAGGACCTCACTCTGAGTTAACAGATGAATTTAGCTCCTACATTGGAAAGAAAATAAAAGCTTTTTAAAAAGAAAGCCCTCATTCCCACTTTGAAACAATCAGACCACAACTGAATCCACACTCATGCTTTCTGTTTTGCCGCCTAATACAAAGGGCATACAAAGGTATGTGCCCAACCAGACACCCATCTAGGCTAATCCCTTCACCTATTCTACTACCTAATCCCATCCTGGCTTTGCAAAGATTTCCCTCCACTAACTAATGATGTTTTCTCTCTAACTTCTCTCCAGGCCCTTTCTCATAGGGTTTAAACATACTCAGATTCCTCTGTCTTCAAAACTATGACCTCAAATAAAAACAAACAAAACAAAACAAAGAAAGCATTTCCCTCAACCCTAAATTTCTCTCCAGCTACCACCCTACTTCTACCATTCCTTTCCCAGACTAATTTCTTGAAAGTTATCTGTCACCTGCAGTCTCTACTGCCTTACCTCGCACTCAACCCGCAACCCACCCCAATCTGGCTTCTTCCCAACAACTCCACTGAAACTGCCTTTGTGGAGGTCACTAATGTACTGTTGCTAAATCCAGTAGATGCTTTTCTTTCTTACTTTCCTTTTTACCCTTTTTTTTTTAAATCGTCCCTTCATTCCATCCTAGTTTCTTTGAGTCCATCTCTGAGATTTCTACCTTTCAGTAATCTTTCTGGAATTCTCTTCATCTGTCCATCCATTAAATATTTCTGGTTCTTACTCCACAGATGGCCCTTAGGTTTTCCATCTATTACAATGGTTTAAATTACCATCTATATGCTGGTAATTCCCAAAATTATGCCTTCAGCCCAGATATTTCTGAGCTGTAGTCATATATACCTAGCTATGCCTAGACATATTTACCTAGAGGTCCTGTGGCAAGACAAAATCAAAATGACCAAACTGAAATCTTCCCTCAAAACCAGTCTTTTTCCCACAACCTTTATTTCAATGAAAGGCCCACTGTCCATCCAGTTGCCAAAGCTAAAAACCTGGATATCACCCTAGACACTCCCATTCCCTCATCCCCAATCCAATCAATACTAAGATCCTAACTATTCTACCTCCAAAATATCTCTGGAACATGTCTACTTGCTTCCATCCTCATCATTACTCTGATTCAGGACACCATTCACCACCACCTCTCACCTGAATTATCATATTAATTTCCTAATGGTACACCTGCCCCCATCTTCCTTCCTTTTCTCCATTCTTCACATTACAGTCACAGAAATATTTCTAAAGAACAAATCTGATCATACTTCTCCCATTCCTAAAATCTTGCATTGGCTTCCCAATGCTCTTAGAATTAAATCTAAACTCCTTGTATAATTTACAAGCTGCATGATGTGGCCTCTTCTAATCTCCCTAACCACACACAACTCTTCTCCTTTAGTATTATACTCTACTAATTCTGGAAAAAAATGTAATATCCCACATGCAGCTAAGTCCAACTCCTCTGGACCTCCTCAAATACTAGTTCTCAGACTAGGACATTCTACACACCAACCTGCCTTGTGGTTAACGCCTCAGCATAGACATCAGGTCCTCCAGGATGCCTTCCCTGATATCACTTCCTCCAGGATGCCTTCCCTGATATCACTTCCTCCAGATGCTGTCCCTGATATCACTTCCTCCAGGATGCCTTCCCTGATCCCCACAATTCTGGATTAGATACTTCTACATGTTGCTGTATTTGTCCTTCCTTAGCACTTCTCACAAGGCATTGTAATTGCCTGGATACTTATCCAGCTCTCCTGATCTAGATCTGGAAAATTTTTTTATTGTACCTAGTCCTTAGAACTACAGCTGTACATTGTAAGCTGTCAGAAACATTTGTGGAGTACATAAAGTCACACACAGAAAACATATTGAAAATGATTTTTAGGTTAATTATTTCTCTATAGACAGAGTTGCACATTAAAACAAAGGTAGAGACTCTCTGAAGTCCCAGTGTTACCTATGAACTAGAACTTGAAAGACGTAAGCTTTAAGGTTCAGCTCTTTTAAAAATGACTAGATAATCATTTCACAATATATATAAATATGGAATCATTTTATTGTACATCTGAAACTAGTATATGTTAATTATCTCAATTTTTTTAAAGTGACCAGAGATTGTCATACCTCTATATACACTTTGAAACTAAAATCTACATTATGTATAATAAAGTCTAACAAGTATAAAAAAATTCTATAATTAGGCAGACATAATAATTAAAATAATACTGAAAAATTAATTCACTCTTTTTCAGTGCCACTGTAGGAAATTTTTTTTAAATAAATTGTTTTACTTGACTATACTTAAAAGTAATGATTTTTGAATGTGATCAAACTGTATATCAACTGTTCTCTTTTTATGTTTATTTTTGTCAGGATGCTAACATATGGTAATTAATTAAAACCCCTAAAGATAAAAATGTCAGCTAAAACCATGATCTTAGTTCTGCGTGTAACAATGCATTACCCTCCACTGAACCAACTATCACTGCTCCATCTTCGTACACAATGCAGATCTTCTGTCCATCAGCATTCCAGCTCATACCGCGAACCACTGATTTATTTCTATTGTTGATCATCTCCTCATACCAACAGCCTGTTTTCACAAATTAAAAAGAAATTACAAATCAAAACTTTCATAGCTATTAAACGGTACTCAAGGGTTGAAAACATCCCATAAAATGCACTGTGGGATAGATAACTGCAAGCTTTCTACAACCTGACTCATTAAACTATAAAACCATAAACTCTAATATAAACAAAATAAAAAATTAACTTAGGCATTGACTAATAAGTGTTTCAAAGACTATCACAGAAAAACATAATAAATGCCCACTTACTCTTTCCTCTCTTTCTTTCTTCCCTACTTTTGTCAATTAAAAAATAAAACTTCATTTGGTTTTGAAAGGCCAAAACAACTAATTTTATTCAAAACCTAACTTTTCGCACTTGAACACACTTCAGATAATGACCAAGGAAAAAACAGAATGACCACAATAACTTTATATGTACCCATAAACTCTCCAAAGATTAATTATAAGCATATTAAATATAAACATATTAATTATGAACATATAAACAGAAGTAAAAACTCTAAGTTTGCTTGAAACAAATTTTAAATAGTTCATATCATATTAGTGAAACTGTATCACTAATGCTGAACAAAAAGCATCCTTGTATACAAGGTTGGAGTGAAATGAGACTTTTTTCAAGGTATAACCAAGTGAGAGGCAAATCACAAGGTTATTTTATTTTCTTCCATTTTTTATAAAGTTTAACTACATTCTGCCATAGGGAACTCTAGCCTGCATCCAGGCAAATAATCATGTAATATGGAATAACTAGTCAAAGCAGGGTATTATCAGAGCAGTACTGAGGCCCAGAGATGATCCACCCTGGGAAAAGACAAAGTTTAATCTATACTTTCACACTCTACTCCCTAGACACACATAAAACTTTAAAAACATTCATATACTACAGCATTTTTTTATTAAGAATTTTTTAATGGTATACCCTAAATATTTTCAACACAACACACATGAACTAAGGTACCCTTTTCATTTAAAGATGATGGCTAGAGGCCTCAAGAGAACATTATGAATTATGTTTCTGGAATAATGATACACCTAAATTAAGTCTTCTCTTACTCTCTTGTGGGCAAAAGGTACAAATTGTAAGCCAGTAGTCAGAGCTGAAATAAAATCTGTATTCATGAAAGAAGAGGAACTCAACTGATTTAATAATGGAAATGAATTATTACCTTTGACTTCTTAATAAATGTGTTTTTATCTAGTGAACTAACTCTAGCCACTGACTACATAAAAATGAATTTTTACTGGAAACTTGGAAAAAAAGAGCTATCTCAAGCAGAAAATTATTTTGCTAAGAGTCTAAGCTCATTGTGGAGATAACCAACAGTCACCTAAACACTTTATTAATGCAAGGTCAAAATTCAAAGGAAATAAAGTTAAAGGGAAAAGCAGGCAGCAATAAATTGAGAAACATGCCTGTGCAGTCATGTGAAGTCTTGCTGCTAATTAAAAGGGGGTCTATTTCAAAGATGGTATTTCCCCACAAATACTGTAATCCAGACTCCAATCTGAAAGATTAAGTAAACTCTCCTAAATATACCTTTATATAACATCCAAACAATGATAAGACCATTTTGATCACTGGTAGTCAACTTCTGATATTGTTCATTCCATGCTATAACTTGAACAGAACCTAAAAATTATAAAACAATTTAGAAACTTAAAAAAGGCTCCAGTTCATTTCAAATCTGTATTTTTATAATAAACATCAAGAGCATGTTAAAATCAAAACAGTTCCTGTGCAACTAAGCAGTCTGTAGTATTACTCAAAAATATTCATAGGTTGCAGTTTACTATTATCATTCATAATCTACAATGCATAGTATTATTTTTCATGGTTCCTATTTCATGCTAGCAAAGGTACCTACTATGGTCAGCTGTAAGAGCTGCCATATATTT